AGTTTCTTCTTAAAGATAGTCACAGAAGGGGCAGCCACTACTTCGTCATCTAACGCATTCCACGCGTTCACCACTCTGCAAGTAAAGAATCCTGTCTCGACTTGAGCCGCACCTGCGGTTTGTGCAACTTAAGTTGATTACTTCTCGTTCTCTTGCTGCCATCAACTGGAAAAACCTACCACACTCGACATTATCTATTCCTTTTATTATCTTGAAAGCCTGGATGAGATCGCCCCTCTTTAACCTTCGCTCGAGCGAGTGGGGGGGGGGCAATGTTGACGCTAGGTACTAGACAGTAAGTAACTAGGATACGCAAAAAAATTCCAAAAATGCAAAAATATTTAGCTTCAAGAGGATTTGGCCTACCCTAAAATTAAGGAACGCTCGACCTCGACACGTGATATCGAAATGGGTGAAATCGCCTCTTGATATCACTGTCTTGAATTTTGAATCTTGAAGCTGGTTGAAACTCAGTTTTTTTTAGTCAAATGGAATCTTAGACCTTTTTTCCAATTGAAGTTGGGGTCTCAACGAATTTATTTATCTCACATTGCTAGGATGCAGGCAAAAAGTGTTATGCACATGTGCCCTTTTTTCCATATTCGCGGTGCTGGAAATTTTTTCAAACCCTCTTTCACCACTTCTTCCCAGTTAAATATCATAATTTACCATGTAAAACATCTACAGATTTCAAATCAACTCTTCCTCAAAGAATGGCAATAAAAATGTATCATCAGTAAAATGTATCAAATGTACTCATCAGTAATCCATTATTAATTAATTGATCATCTGAATCTCCAACTGTTTCATGAAAATCGCCAACTTCTCGCATCCTCCCAGAGCTGCTCGGATGACTCAGCCTCTTCCTGGCTGGCTTCTTCCTCGTTCCCACTTTCGGTTCGAAAGAATGGAATTATTTCACCAAAATCGTTCTGCGATGCAAGTGCTAATGGAAAATTCGTGGAGGCAGCCATATTGAAATTGTCAAGAAGTTGGCCTGCTATATATTAAAAGCATTGGAAAATCTGCTTCTCCTTTGCTGAATACGAATCTTAACTACCTGCTGACCACCCTATCCTCTGACAAGCCCCAGCCCTCCCCCCAGCAGCGCATGGACGCGGATACAGAAAAGGGGCGTATGGGCACTTACGCCCTTTTCCCAGAGAATTCCTCAATTTATCCTTTGACCTTAAGTACAGTCAAAAGTCACTGAACGACTTTCAACAGCTACAACTTGGCAAGGAAGGCATTAATTTGAAAACGGTTTTTTGCATATGAAAGAGCGTGCGTTAATTGACTAAACAACATGAAAATTTGCATGAAATACTATTACTAATAAGAAATGGAATGAGTCTGCACAAAACGAAAATCAACATTTTTCAACATAAAAGATATATTTAAGGTACAACGGACACCTCTTCACAGTTATTTTCTGTTAATTTTTGCTGCTTCAAATGGTTTTCTGACAATACCGATGAACTTTCTCTGGAGGAACGCGTCACCGTCGTTTATTTCTTCATCTGGGAAGGAAATCTTTCCGAAGTTAAGCGTCGTTTTGCTTTGAAGACAGGTGGATAGGCCGGGTCGGGCCTATCGAGTGGCCAAGTCGCCGGACCCGACTCCACTCGACTCCTGGCCGTGGGATTTCATTTAAAGACCAGGTGTATGCCGAAAATTCGCGCACGATCAATGAACTGAGAAGATTGCCGGAGTTGCTTCTCGATGACGGCTCGCGTGGTCGAGCTTGATGGTGCTCAATAAATCATGGCCAGTATTTATAGCCATTTCTACGCCAAATAAATAAATATTTCTTTTTCAATATCGCATGCGCTTTTTCGTATGCAAAAAACCGTTTGCAAATTAATGCCTTCCTTGCCAAGTTATAGCTATTTAAAGTCGTTCAGTGACTTCTGACTCACCCTGTATATTGCATGACGTAGTTTTCAGTATGGCTAAGTTTGCTTTGCAATGGAATAATGACCATTTTCCACTCCACTATACTTCCTTGCAACTTGTCTTTATTGTACGCTTCGATTCATGATTTATGATTGCTTCATCCAGCTTCTGGCAACAGGCCAAAACATTCGACACCCCACCAAAGACATCGTGCGGAATATACGTCGAACGGAAATATCTCATGAGCGGTTGTTTGGAGAGTCATCTCATTCTGCATCATTTTTCCATAATAATGCTAACAGGCGTCAATATTGTTACGGATATTGTCGAGGGGCGACGGTCGGAAATTTTGAGGAACTGGTGAAAAAAGGAGACACTAGCTTAAAAATAATGGGGGGGGGGATGCTAAGGAAAGAAATGAGTAGTGTGCGCGAACATCTTCCGCCTCCAGACAGCTTCTACGAACTACCTAGAATCAAATACTTGCATCGAAATTCTCCACGAAACGTCTTCCGAGTTCGTCGTTATACTGGATTTACAGCGATGGACTGGCATTCCGGCGATTGACGGCCCTCCTTAAGGACAGGAAATTCCTATTCCCCCTTTCTTTCGGGTCAGTCAAATGATCCGTTCGATCCCCAGTGGCCACATAAAGCAATGGTTACGCTGTTAGGCACAGCCACGGAGAAAAGATGAGGAAATTCACCCAGAAAGGCTTTTCCTACGGACACGCATGAGATAATCCAGTAAACCTTTCTCTCTTCTCTTGTCGAATGTTTTGGCTTATTGCCAGATGCCGGAAAAAGCAAGGCCAATGGCATTTCTCGGTGTGATGAGGAATGGATGAAGCTTTCTCACCTGCGAGTGAAGTGTTGGCTATAGATCAGATATTCCCGTTAAAAGTCCGAGCACCTGTTTCACAAAAAGACAATGCATCGTAGCCATATGGAACTAAAAGTGCTTCTTGTTCAATACCCTCAGAAATAAGTCAAACTCAAGAAAATTTCTGCTCTTGTAAGACCTGTACCTATAATATAGCCTATAAGACTCCGTTTTATGGGTATCAAAACAAATTTTCTTTTCAACTATAAAATAGCTCATATGAAGTCATCTAAAGTCATCTAGATGCCTGTAATGTCGCCCATAACATCTCAGTTTATAGGTATCAAAATTAAATTTTTTTTACCCATTAAGAGACACACTCGTTTGGAAAGGTCGCGGAAATGCAAGTGCGTGCGTTCTCATTCCCGTAACTCTTCCAAAAACCGACATCATCATCAGCAAACCCCATCAAAAATCGCCACCCGAAGGTGGGAAAATTCCCTTGATAAAACGATCAGGCCATCCCCTTCCTCCCATATACGCAAAAAGGATTGAGCCTCGATAATCCAAAGCCTGTCGCAACCGTGTCAGGTCATCATCGATCACTGAATACCCCCGAGGACCTTCCCAGTCGAGCGTAAAAAGATTTTCCCCTCGGACGCATATAACGATTCAACTGGGACCCCCCATCTCACTTAGATCGAACATATATCCCAGATAAGTGCGAGGAGATCCAATAACCCCTCCCACCCCCTTCTGATGGACGAAGTCCCGTTGATCCCCCATTATCCACTACACGTCTCATTTCATCTGTATATTATTGCACAGGGTAATGGAGGGAACGATGGAGACGGCCGTGACGGAAAAACTCCTGGATCCAGTGAAGATAACCATCAAGAAACTGTGAGACACTCCCGACACTAGAAGCTTCTTAAATTAAATTTTTTTTGCTCTAAAGCGAATCCGTAATGGAATCTCCTTCTCAAATCCCTCCGCGAAGTCAATCTAAATTAGAATGCACTTTAAAAGTCCCCTGCAGACTTGAGCCTCTAATCCGTTTACTTTTCTCTTCCTGTTTTCCTCCTCAGGCATATAAAAAACGGTCACAAGCTGAGAAGCATCGAGACAAGGGCCTTCTACAACTGCACCAGTCTAGTAACCATGTAAGATGAGACCATATAGTATATATATTTAATTACCATACCATATTTAGTTACCAAAAATAGCATAGGTATTTAATTACCATCTGTACTTGATTTCGATCAATCAACAATAACATTAATGCAATCATCCAGTTCAGGATCGTCTTTCGTTCATCTAAGAATGGGAGTTCGGAGCTCTGCCCTTTGAAACTGCCGCTGAGAGACCAAATTTCGGCAGGAGAAATAAGAAGCCTAACATGAGAAATGCGGAAATTACTATGCATTTGAATCCATTCTTAATTTCGGACGATGTGGCTTAAAATCTATTCTTGTGGTCAGAGTAACAATTTGATACCGAGTAGCCTTCTAACTACCCAAACGGATTTTGCATTTATTTCTGCAGATTGTCTCTTATACTTTGGAATCTTTCCTCCCTTTTCTTTCCAGCTACATCCACCACGCGCCTCGCCTTCAGAACATCTCGGAGGGAACCTTCCAGCTCTTCCTGCCGGCGCTTCGCTTTCTGTGAGCCCCTTTTCCTACCAGGAAGCCCCATTCCCTCTAGGAAGCCCCGAAACCCTGACATGATGGGTCAAAACCACTTGGCCCCATCCCAAGTGGATCAGGGTCTAGAAATGTTTATTTCCATGCCCGAAAAACCTCTCCTCACCCGCTACTCTAAGCGTTCGCAATTGCGCCTAATTATCCGCCTGTCATGCCCTGATATCGACAAGGACAAACATTTTTCGAATTTATTTTTGTTTCTATCCTCGACTTAGGTTTGTTTTCGAGTCACTCTTCCCGATTCTCTCCCAGAATGTATATGCGCGAAAGCGTTTCATCCCATCTACATCGCTGAAACCTTATAATAAAATTTTATTTCCCAATATTCACTAGTAAAGTTTCTTCATGAGCGAATAATTGTTTATTGTATGTAAATGTATTTATAATTATTAATATTATATATGTAATTTTTCTTTTCTTTTGGCAGACGTATTACAAACACGGCCGTGGATCAGCTTCCCAAATTCCTCCTGGGGTCATCGGAAGGAATCCTTAACACCATGTGAGTCCCCCCAAAATCAACTCACAGTCTCCCCCCCCCCACTCTCTTCCCTCGCCCCCTCACCCGGGAACCGAATCAACGATGCATAGCCGCATAGATGTATAGCCGAGAAATGTCCCAATAGAGAATGTGATTTTCTATATTCATTTTCATCTCTGATCCCAAGGGACCCCTCCGGCAAAAAGTTTCCAAACATAGTTACAAGGAAGAAAAGCACAAAGGTGCCATCACGGAAGCAATCCCTTTTCTCTCTGCACTTCTTGCGGCGGATCCTGCAACTCTGATGGCATCGTAATTTAGGCAATAGCCCAGCAGTCTCCTCTTAGAGCCTCGGTTGCGTCGGTCTTTCAAGCCGGCCGGATCGATCGCTTGGTAATCTACTCCATGGATATTCATCGCATGGTAATTATGAGTATGCAGGTACAGCATGAATGGGCTCAACAGAAGATTGATTTTTTCGGGCAAAGTCTACTATTATGAGATTCTTAGATGTAACCTCATTCATATAACGCATATACCACTCTGCAAAGGAATTGCACGGTTTCTTTTGGCTTAAGAGAGAGAGAAAAAAAAAGAGGAAATGGGAAAAGGGCCGTCTCTCTCGCAACGACAATGAAAGAAAGATTTTGTTGTCGCGTCTTTTGTCATCTGTAACGTGAAATAAAACTTCCATTCAATTTTCTATTCTATTTATTCCCTCTTCCTACATTTTTTCTAATTAAGTTTTTTTTCTCCCATCTACTCCTTTATAGACTTCGATGAAACTTTTATATTTTCAAGAGACGTCGTACCATTATCCATTTCCTTTTCCCCCTCTCTCTTCACTCACTTCTATAGAGTCCTGAAGACGTAGCGTTCCAGAAACATTAGTCCTTTTGAATAAATTACTTCAAACGGTTGGGGATATTCTTCCTTGTTCGTTATCTGTAAGTAGAACGCATTCCATCACTGTGGTTTCAAACTTCTTTCAAATTTCTTCGAACGTCTTTCAAAGGCTGCGTTTGTTCTGTACTCGGTAGTTACCTATCGACCGAAAGCGAAGCAAAAAAAACTGACTGTCGATTCACCGTTTTAAATGTGACATTTGAGTACCTTTTCATGGTTCTAGACCAGCATTTCCTCTTTCCGTTTATGGTCTATTTCCTGATATTTCATATATCGTTTAGTAGGTCGAGGCAGAGAGGATACCCCTCAACCTGTGCATCATCTGCAGAAAATCAGGCAGCAGATCTAACAAGTTTACACCATCTCCACTTAATTGTCACTCATAAGCGCCGATTCCATGTTGTATTGACGGTCAGCCGAGTCCCCACTACACTGTCAAAGTAAAACTCGCCTCCTGAAAGACTAGATCTGTCGATCCCATCTCATGTCCGCACCAGGCAAGACCCTGTCTGACCCTCAATTCACGATTCGTAATCCTTTACAGATCTATCCGCATGAACCGAGTCACAAATGAAAGGTTGAAGTGCTTGCAACAGCATGCCTCCTAGGACACGTCTCCAATGCATTAAGGCTCTCTGGCAGACCTAGTTAAGGTTCACCGCCACTTAGCATAATTGCCATTCGACCGTGGCGCTCTTCCTGTTTGCTTTTGAAGACTCATTTTATACGGGTGTCCCTCGAACTGCAACAGTATCCATCATTGGTCTAGCACCCCTACAGCCAAGGAGTGTGTCACGACCAAATGAACGATGAGATCTGGCGGTCGGCTTCCGTCTTTGTCACCCTCAATAGCGCCAGTGATCGAGAGATCTCTGATCTAGAGCTAATGAAAACTGCCGCTTTGATTGACCCTATGCCATTTCCTTTCTAGACCAAAAGAAACCCTGCGTCTTTCTTGCGGCCTGGTATACAGCAAAACTAAATCCACTCTTCCACAATTCCATAAGTAAATCAAATCTGCCTTTTAGCAACATCAAATCTACAAATCATAGTAAGGAATTAAATGCATCAAATGCGTTTTGTCCAGTGCTCCAGAAAGGAATTTGAGGTCTCGATTTCACAATGTCCTTTAAAGCGCGAAATAGATCCATACGCAAGAAAGTGAATGAAGTGAATGACATTCGGGATCTTTTTTTTGTATTCACGACAAAGCAGAGAATCGAGACCTTTCAAGTCACCGCGAATTCCCGGAGATCAGACATTTATATGCCGTTCCATTTCAAACTAAATCCTTAATGAGTTAGGATGACGTGAAGGCCTCTTAAAGCAAATATAATTGGAAGAAATCTCAAGGACAGAAATTATCCAGAAGCTCATGCCTACAAGCTGCCCATGCCTGATTTTTTTAAATGTCTGGTCAGGAAGAATTTAGGAAATAAAATTAAAGCTTACTGTGTTCCTTCCGATGGCGATCATTTCATGCAACCATCGCCAAGCGTAATAGACATAAAAGTGAGGTTCATTTGCCATTTGTGGGTTCATAGCCGTTTGTGAAACCGGACCCATTTCCAAAATTTTTTTGACCTAGTCTTAGTAATTTTCGGTTCTGATACACGATCGCATTTTCCATATGCCTCACGGACAATGAATTTGGCCTTAAATGATTTAGAACATCCCTGGAAAAAAAAATAAACTTCTATCAATAATTTTCACCACCCAAGCAGGATTTTCTCTCTCGCCCCGCCCTACCTACAGCTGAAAACGCAGATTTTGCACGAACGCAATGTCCAGTGTGTTCCGATGAGTGACAGAGGAACTCGAGGGGAGTGAGGGAGAGGGAGATTGGGGAGGCTATGCAGATTCTCAAGCCAAAGAGGGATGCTTCACTTTTCTCGAGCCAGGCTGTAGTTTTCTACTCGTAAAACCTCAAAAAGTGCTCTCTACTTGGAAGTGAGAGAGAGAGAGAGAGAGAGAGAGAAAGAGGGGAATTTTACAGAGCTGATGTGGGCCAATTTGAAGTAAAATCGGAAACCTCTGGTCGATGCATGACCCAAATGAGGCAGAATTTCTTTCACATCGAATTTTATCATCTGTAAAACAATAGAAGAGGCAATGGGATCGGCAGCTAACGGGTTCGAATCTTGAATATCCAATGCATTACAAAATAACTAGATCTCCATGCTCTGTTAGGTACGTGGTTCTTGAATATTTCAAACTCGTTTCCCTTGGGCAAGTTATCCAATTCCTTCCAGACGATGAGTCTTTTGACAACCTTTGCGGAAGCGAGGAAGTGAGAAAATTTAGCAGGAGCGAGATATTAATAAATGAATACATTAAATTAAAAAAACAATGCTTTCTCACACTTTCTTGCCCAAAGAACTGCTGAAAGAATCTGTAGTAGTTCCTGATGGACTTACCCACTCCCATCTATGCAATAAAGTAACGATAATAAAAGAACCACAAGCAGAGAAAAGTTTATCTCAGGGGAATGAATTGACGTCATGACAGTGATTTTCTGGGGGAAGCGAGCGAGAAACTATAAATAATCGCAATATAAAAATTGGCAGGCTCTGTCTCAGGTACCCCAGGGTCTCTATTTTCAGGTAAAAAATAAAAAGGAAAAAAAGGAAGGAGGAGAGCTCTTTCGTCCTAAAGCCCCAGCATGCAATATCTTAATGAGGTTGATTCCCTGGTGCGTTCGATTGCTCCTCCGAGAAGACAGGATGATCTGCTACGGCTGGTCGGGGAATGTCTTCCATCAAACTATTCAATCTGTTGCTGCTTAGGAATGAAGGTTTTTCCGCGCCCCTACCTAAGTCGTGCAACGCCCATTTAGAGGTGAATTAAAGGTGCTTTGAGATGGATCATTCCACCTCAAGTGAGGTGATTTCCTGTGCTCGACCATCTCAGAATTCAATGAATGTTTTAACTTTTAAATTTTCAGAGGACAAATGGATCCAGCTGATACTTGACAGAGAGGTTCATGAGTCTAAGGTTTATTTTCACATACGCAAGATGGCACTGTATCCTCATAGAGGGCGCTGTTGTTGACCGGGTGAAAGAGAGTGATTAAAAAAAAAAGCTCCACCGTTTTCGAAGGGAAGGAAGTACAATTCGTGTATTCTATAAAAAAAAAGATTCATAAACTCTTGATGTTGGACATATAGGAGGTGTTGAAAAGATTTTCCTCTTTTTTTTTCCTGAAAAATTCTCTGAGCCAAATATTGTCCTGTTAAACAATTTACAGGTGGAGCATTGAACCCTTTTTAAAATAAAATCCTCGGTCACCTGGTCAACAGTAGCCCACTCTATCGGGATACAGCACCATCTTGCGGAAATGAAAAAAAAAACCTTAGACTCATGAACGTCTCTGTCAAGTATCAGTTGGATCCAACTGTCCCTTGAAAATTTAAAGTTGAAAAATTCATCGAATTCTGAGACGGTCGAGCACAGGAAATCACCTCACTTGAGGTGGAATGATCCACCCAGCCAAGGATCAAAGTCTGCAGTCACGGAAAAAAAGAGGGCAGGGGAAACAGTCGGATGCAATGGGGAATAGTCGGATCAATCGTTGCTATGGTTTGTTAACATTTTGGAGATCCTCGGATTGTAACAGGATGTGGTGGGCGGGATGAACAAACGTAGGTTGAGTATAGCTCAATTTATTGGAGTACTTAATTCGACGAAATTAAGCAATTGAATTAACACCTAATGAAATACATACTTAGTGCGGGCCCTCCAAACCTTCACAATGGGCTCTGCGCGAAATTCTCCTCTTTAATGGGCTGTCGATCACGTTTTACAGAAGCGGAAGTTGGAAATAAGCTGGGCTAGAGTATGAAGTTCCCCCTTCCGCCTTTTTTTCCCCCAGTTGTCAGTTCGCCAAAAGAACCACCATGATCCCAGACTCGGGACTTTACTGCCTCTCCTTTACCTCCCAAGTCCCGGGCAATTTATCATGTCGCATCCCTTTGAGATGGCTATGACTTACAATAAACACTCCTTTTGCTTATGATCTGGCATGTGTAAAAAGTCTTGGGGGAATAAACTAATAATGCCGCTAAAGAGAGCTCCTCTTGCTCCATCCATGTTTTCTGAGGTTCTGCTTATTGTGCACACCTTCTCTTCTCTTCTGTTTTAACCAAATCTCCAATTTTTCATCTCCGATATCTTTTCACTGCCTCTCCTTAGATTTAAAAAAGCGGGCTCAGAAAAAGTTCTGGCCAATTGAAGGAGAGTCGATATTCCTGCCAAAGGGAGGAACGGAGGAATTCCGCTATGCAGTACTGCTACTCCGAAAGCGAAGATCATGCGAAAAGTGCGTCTAAGAGACGAGGAAGCTAAGCGACAGGCATCCGGCAAAGAAATCCCGAGATCGGGAAGCCTAATGTGATGAAATGAAGAAGGAAGAAAACGGATAGGAATGACAAAAATAGACTCCGATGAACAAAGACGAAACGAAAGCATGGTCAACAACCGAAAATTATCAGTCAAATTATGAGCATTAATTATTGACCCCAACAAGACGAAAATCGAATCGAAAAAAGAAAATTAACCAACAACGACTGACCTGAATATAACTAATCGCGAACGGCAGGCGATTTCAATCGACGACAAAATTTAAATTTGCTGACTAAATTCGCATCGGCATAGGGCAATTGTTGAACCTTAACAATCGAAAAGCGCAACAAAAAGGTTCCTTTAGGCCAATCAGGTCTGCCGTTGAGTTTCACAAATCAGTACCAGGAGAGGAGTTTATGAGATTTATGAGATGAATTCATTTCTCCAAGAGAAATGAATGGTTTAATTTCTCGTAGTAGAAGGAATTCGCGAAGTCCACATTCGATTCCGCGGAATGTCTGAGCGGTTGTACAAGGCCAAGAATATTGCATAAGCAAAAATCACTCTTGATTCTTGACCAGGTTGTCCACAGAGAAGGAATCCGCGTTTTCGTTCCGGAACGACAAAACGGATATGAAAATAAGGATAGGGTTAAAGCTAAAGTATCCAGGAAAATTGAGCGACGTGAAAAATGAAATTCCCATTATTTTATTCTATGAAATAACTATTATCACGTATATATCAATGAGAGATTATTTTAAATCCATAACTTTAAAAGATATAATTTAAATGACTGAAGCTTTAAACGCAATAGTACATCTTACTCAAAATTGACATTTGGCGCTTTAAAAATGATCTATGAAGTTTGAACCGAATTATATGGCTAATTTCAAAAACTAAAAAACCAGAGCAGTAGACTTCTCCGAGTTAAGTCTGCAGATAGCCTTCTTTCGTTTCATCCCCACACAATCCCACAATCACGTTCTCTCATTCGCACGGGGCAAATGCGATTGCAATGTGATGTACTCCTGCGGCCCTTGAGTGACTCGGCGGTTCCTCGTCAATGAATTGGCGAAGCGTTGAAAGCGAGTCGGAATCATCCTTGCATTCGCATATTGGCTCAAATGCCCAGCGCAGAGAATGGGATTCCCATGGTCGATATCTGCTGTCCCAGAATATTGCGACAGAAATAATGAAAATGATGTATTGTTAGGGTATGGGTAAGGAGTCAAACCTCTTGGCGGGTCCCGGCAATCAAATTCAAAAGGGGCGAGGCAGTATGCAAATTAACCAGGATATTCAAATTGGTTCTCGTAATATGATTTAATTTATCCCATTCGTCCCGCAGGAATACTCGATCAATCGCATTCTACCCTCATAGGTCGAAGGTAAAAGATCAAAGATGAACTTGTGAGGATTCAGACATTTCCCTCGTTTTTCGACGCTATATTAGGCAAGGAAATCTACTCTGAAAGAGGAAAGATTGCGTCGGATCCATTACAGTAAATTAATCCAGACTCTTTCAAGGAATCCGATAAATCTCGCTAAGTCGCTTCAATTCAACGGGGAACCACTGGTAGTCGACCATGAAACACTTCTTTGACTACGAAGATCCATTTGTCGCTCCCGTCGGGGAATTCTGTGAAGCCGTGGCTTCAGGACTGGTATTACGGAACCCAGGAGTGTAGGTTAAGGAGTAAATCAAATCTTATGAGAAAGTGAATAAATGCGTTAATATGTCCCTCAGCAACCATCGGTCGCCGGTCACCGGTCGAGCATAAATATTAATAAAATTTCTCCGGTCTCACCGTATCTATAAGGAATAGTGACATTTCCGAGCGATAAACGAGTCCCTCCTTTCCAGTTCCGTCTGAAACATCAGCAAAGAACCAAGGCACCTCATGCCTTTATCGTGCAATGAAGCAATCGCTCTGTGGCGAACCGTAAAGCACGATGAAACCCCTCTCCGGCTTACACGAGCCGATTTATGGCATATACTGCAGGTTTAGGGAGGTCACTCGGGCAGATTAATCCTGTGATGACAAATGTGAGGGAGAGGAGAAAACGTATCAGAAGATTGGATTAGTTTGAAGGGGGGGAGGGGGAATGAGGGAAAGTTTGTTCAAAGATTGAGTTTATATAAGAGAGATAGGTAGATAGAGGGGAAAGTAATTGTTTTCTTCGTCCTTGACCCCCTTTGTTTACCCACGTTCTTCCCACTTCAAGAGGAAATGGAAAAATTTCTGGAGCTTTGATAGATGTCAGGTTTCGAGTGCTTTGCTATGAATCAAAAGTCGTTAGGTAAAGTATTTCCGGTCTACGATAGAATTGGAAAGACTGGGATCTTCGAACAGATGCATTTCTCAATCCTCATCCACATCTCATATTTTACTATCTTATTTTAATTTGCATCTTGCCTTCTCATAATTTACCTCGTACACTTCATTTCGCTTTCAATATCTTGCACTCTTGTGCACCCTCTTCAAGATTCTTTAAAATACCGATTTGCACTCGACGTCCATTCCCACCCTCACCACCGCTTCTCCTGCGTTGTTGCAGAAACCTGGAATACAACCAGATCCAGGAAATTGAAAGCGGGACGTTCCAGGTGAAGACCGATGAACTGTGAGCAAACTCTCTTCCTTCAGCGCGAAAAACATTCCTCAAATAAACGTTTACATTCATTATTATTTAATTTATCATTCTCATACCGATTCTTTTGCCTCCTTAGGCTCTTGGGCCACAACAGGATCACGTCGGTGCATGCGAATGCCTTCGAGGGATCCTCGTTCGGCACCCTGTGAGTCTCTCTCCTATTTTCGCACGGAAAGGACGTGAAAAATTGCAGTAAACTTTTGTGCCTTGTCAATGGCTAGAACCCTATACATCTGTCCGTTGTTTGGGGCGTTTGCAATGAAACTCGGGACAAGAAGAAAAGGAAATGAATGATGGTGGTGGCATTCATCGATTGAATCTGATGGTATCGAGCCTATTAGTCGCACGAGGATGATTGATGGGCCGAGGTCAGAAAGCTCTGCGGGTCTTTTCCGCAGAATGGAATGGAACACCGTCTCGACTTTCTTTCCTTTGCGTATCAGTCATTCGTGTTTTAGAAATTGGATATTTCAAGGTAGGCCGAACAGCCTTCAAGACGACCGTGAGTCGTCCAAAGGGTCAAAAGGAAACATTATTTTAAGACTAGTAGCTTGAGAGAAACATGAAACACGAGGAAGCAAAAGCGGAGTAACAAATTATGCTCTTTGAGAATTGCAGGCTTCTTGGTAGATAAACTTTAAACTGGGAAGGAGTGAAATAATTGATAGCCTTTCTAAGACAAGCGGGTCCGGCCTGCGGCCTTACAATTCCCTCCCACCAATCATAGAACAGCTTCACTGTTCCAACATGGGGTTGCCAGGAGTGTCTGCATGCGTTACGTGCTCGCTGGCTGCGCTGACTCGGAAACTTGTACAACTAGGTGTATGAAATATTGCATAATTCAACGCGGATCAATGCGGTCATGAAGAATGCCAAAGGATTTTGTTGTGGGCTACCTTTCCGGCATGCAAATTTCACCGGTGGTGCTCATAAAATTCAAACCGGGACGTCTGGTCACCCTAATCAATATTGAAAAAAAAAGGGCTTAGCCTTTGGCCAAACTTTGGGTGGACTTGTGCAATATAGTAACTTAGTAAAACTAAGCCTTGGACTTCAAATCAGACGCTGTCCGCCACCCAAAATTTGAACAGCCGCCACCACCAGAGATATGGTAAATATAACTAGACTGGACAGGCCAATGGAGAACGCGCCGCAGCCCCACGCCGATTAGAAGTGGCGGCCGCCTTCGTTCATGCCGTCAAGTAACGCAATAAACGCATAGATTTTGGATTCACACTCTAATGTAAGTTTTGACGCTCACCATTGCAGTGGAGGCTTCATTCAAACCTGTATTGAAAAAAAGTGCAATACTTCGTCAGAAGAGAATCCGAATCCTATTGTTGTGATACGTAATAGACGTTAAGGCAGTGGCTGCACACTGAAGACCGCGTGGACCTAGGCCTACCCGGTCTTCACTGACGAAGTATGGTGTTTTGAAAATCGATCAATGCTATCTTTTCCATCTTTGAGGAGTAGAAACCCAGTATTTATTTTCATTGCACTTACCAATGTCAGTGCAATATTAGTTTCCCATGCAGTTGGGCCCAGAGTCTACATGACGTGAGATCTTCGACTGCCCTGTCCAGTCTAGTTATATTTACCATGTCTCTGGCCACCACAGACGGCCACCCTGTTGGATCGGTGAAGCCTTCCGTCATTGGTGGGAGTATATTGCAAAGCCGCAGGCCGGACCCGCTTGTGTTCTAAGCAGTCAAGCATCTGAGGAAGGAGGATGGAATATGAAAAATAAAGCCTGTATCGGAAAAGTGCGCAAAGTGGAAACGGGAACCCCCCCTGGGGAGCCACTGAAAGCTTCCCGGATGAAATTTCCCTCCCAAATGAGCCAGGCTGCTTATGGGATGCCTAAATGAAAGAAAACGAGCAGGCAAGCCCGACCAAATGCAGTCCGGTAGCAACGTGTGAGCCTCCTTCCGGTGCACAGCCTCGAGCAATTTTGACATGATGCGTACGAAAGGGAACGTCTCAACATCGTTTACATGAGCATGGTGGTTCGAGCTCCGATATTCAGGTTCATGGCAACGACTTCATGCAGACATTTGCATATTTAAGTATTCATATACGGTGGAAGGTTTCATGCGCGCTTTTCCACGTTGCATGCGCTAACGTTTAAGTCGGTTCAGAATAAGAAATCCAGTCATATGCGCACATTCCATTATTCGCCTAGGCAGCCAAGAATCGATCCCATCCCAACATATTCTCTACTTTCCTTCAATAAATCCCGCAACTTCTGGAAATCGGCACGACGTAATTAGGAGAGGAATCACTGTCAAGTATTCCACTCAAAAAGCAGCACATTCGCCAACACCATCCATCTCCTTCCCAATAACAGCGCTGTGCATCGTCCATAAGCCCAGGCAATCACAAATAAATTCATCTCGGACCGACCGGCAGCATGGGCTCTCAACTGCAAAACTCCATCTGTCTCGACCGGGTGCAAGAAAGAGATAAAAAAAAAAGCTTCATTCCATATTTCATTTTGCAGAGTATCTATGGCATACGAGATAACAAGTTCATCAATAGGCGAGATAGTAACTATCCCCTTTCTTTAACCCCTTCCTCTCCCAAAATTCAACCTCCTCGTATTCCTCTCTGAGAGCATCTAGAGCAGTAGTTCTCAATCTGTGGTCCGCGGACCACCGCGGACACGGATCTTCTATGGGAGTAAAAGGGAGTTTGAGAACCACTGATCTAGAGGAGCGAAATTAGGTTTACTTTTTCCCTTCTCAACACAATTGCTCCTGCAAATTTGAAGCTTCAATATCCAGGATTTTGAGAGAACGCTGATTCTCTCTTTGTGAAGATGTAAATTTCATGAAGTAGAGTGATAACCATTTGACAAATACTTCTTTCCCCATTCAACACCCCAGCAGTACCCCCCCCCCCCCTCCCTGGAGTAGCCCATCCTGGGGAGTTTCCGGAAAAAGTATTTCAGCCAAAAGAAAGACATTGACTTGCAGATCACGAAAAGTGCCCTTTATATTGTTTGCATTGCATCAGTCCGCTATGAAAAATTAAGTTATGTCGTTCATTTAAGCTTAGCGTGCGGGCTCCAGTCCCGTTCCCCAGTGTTGCTGGATATCGTGCTGGTATTAGATTCATGATTCCTGCCTTCGTATTGGTGTTTGAATCTTCTGTTTTTTTTACTGTATGAGACTTTTTGTGCTGAGTTAATGGGATGAACTAAGATTGAAACAGTGCTTAGCAAGATTAATATCTCGCCACATTAATCAGCTGATTAATGTGGCGAGATATGGAGATATCGTACATGGACATCCTTGAATAAACAGGATGGGGCCCAACATGCATTTCAATCCCTGAGGCATTCTCCCCCAGACCTCCTCCAAATGGTTCGAGGCACTCCAGACAGACCTAACGTTACACATCCTTACCAAGATGTCTCCAAGGACTTAAGATTGAGCCTTAGATTGACCCTGAGATAGGTCTAATTGACCCTGTAAGTCAAGTATTGAGATTCTTTTGAGCGAAAAAAGGTAGGCTATGGCCTGACCTGAAGACAGCCCGTGGGTTAGGTCTAGGCCCAACTCTAGTGAGTCCCGTAGAGAGAGCGAGAGAGAGAGAGAGAGAGAGCGAGAGAGAGAGAGCGAGAGAGAGAGAGAGAGCGCGAGAGAGAGAGAGAGAGCGAGAGGGGGGAGGGGTTTGAAGAAAGGGGGAAAGCCCATGAAAATTTGTTTTCACATTATTTCTTGTTTTCGATGGATGCGGAGCGAGCCGACGATCGATTCTGTTCAGAATCCATCCATGCGGTGGGGGGCTAGATTTATTGCAGCCTTACCTTACTTGTCTGGGTCATGGTGAACCTGCACTTTTTCAGCATAATATACAGTAACGCAGTCAGAGGTGCATTTATGTATGCGTCGAAGCTCCTTCGTCAAGGCCGCTTTAAACTCCGTATCGATGCAGACATTCTGGAATATGCCTACCAGCCGACAATCGAGGCTTTGCCGTTCCTCCACATCAGTCATAGAGCATGAAAGATGCCAAATGTGCATTTAATCAGGCCAATATAAGTCTGCCATCCACACACTGCGGAACACCCTGCAATCCTGATACCACCAACAAAGCTAATCGAAATAGCCCCAGTGATCCAGATTTTCCTTGTCCCCTTCCCTCTTCCCCCCTCCACAAAGAAATCACTGTTACTAACGACCCTTTTATCTTTCGCGGGAATCTTCAATCAGAACCGTCATAGGAACTTAGGCATTCGACTGTCGAAGCAATACAAAAGGGTTCTTGTCGAGCGATTATCGAAGACACCGAATAGTCCTTGGAGGCAGTTCTACGAGAGATCCAGCCGTCATTATACGACATGTATAAATAAGCAGTCAGTACCAAGTCATTTGCACAAAAATGTCACTTGCGGTGAAGAACCAACCACTGATGCTTGTGCTCATGCTGATTCCAGATTTTCATCTTCATCGCCGACGTTGACGAAAGACAAGGCTGTTTAATTGTTGATTATCGTGTGTATCAATCGTCTGCTTTCGATTTATGACTTACAGTTATTTCAAGAATATTGGCATAAATACCGTGAACTTCATCTAAACCACTTCGTGCGACCTTGACTGGTTCGCAGGAAATTGGATGAGTCCCCTGATTGTGTACTCAAGCACCAAGATTGGAGTCTCGTCAGGAGACAATGTTTGCCTTGCCCTTGGTAATTACATCGGATCTGTACTTTAAAAAATTATGGCCAGATACTCTACATGTAAGCTTTCCCACTGTTTCCCTGTCGTGGTTTTGAGACAGAAATCGGAAGAATGAAGTGCGACTCAATGGTGACACTGACGCAGTGGCCCATATATCGGCAGCAAATGAGGTCAATATATCGACGTAATGGACCCCACCTAATAAGCTGAGTCTATTATCCCGGGAACTCAATTATCTCTTCCAACACAATCGAAATTTGCTCCTAAGATGTCTCAGACAACGCGTGATATGTAGGTAGTTGTCCCTGACCCAGTCCCAATTGATTCCACGCTTTTTCCTCTTTTCCAATAGGAGCCTGAAGGGGAATCGGAACCTGAGGTACCTTGATCCCATGGCTTTTTCCGGCATCGAGAGCATCAAGAGCCTGTGAGTCATTCCTTAGAAACGGTAATAAGCGAAA